ACAGCAGTTGGCCTTCCTTGGTTGGCCTACCTCCAGCCCCTTTTCTCCCACTGTTCGGGGCTTCTTGGAACCGGCAACAAGCTCCGCCCACATTAATGAACACCGCGTCCACCATTAACATTTAGCCTCTCCCTCCATCTCTGACTTCTACCCACCTTTTTTCCCAGTTTCTGGGACGTCGGAACCGAATTATAACTTGTAGGAAACGCTGTCCAGTTCAGGGCACGCTCCGCCCATTGTAGGCGGGCTTCTGCTCACATTACGTGTGCTGGGAACACCTTAGACATTGCTTCCCTAGACCGATTTTTTTCTGCTCTGTAGGCTTTCTCTAACCGAGCAGGGATAGCCGAGTGGTTAGACCGTCAATACACTCATGATCTGCACTCCGAGAAACCGCGAGTGTCGATGCCCTGCCGAGGTAACCATGCCTGCCTCGCAAAAGAATGCACCGTGCCATCGCAAAGAATCAGTGTGAAATGCTAGGACGTCACCCGGAAGTGGCGCGCAGAACCCCCGCCCGAGTTCTGTGGTCAGTATGCGAGGGCTACCGAGGAGGGAACGGCCTCGGCCAAAGAAGCTAGTTCGAATAGGGACTTAAATGATTCATCATCCAAGTGCTATGCCTTCAGGAGACGCGATGGAAAGGTGCTAAGGCCAGGGAAATCGGGGAGGTGTCAAACTCTACTACAATGGAGAAGACACCAAGCGGAACGGTGTGGCCATAGCGGTAGCGGAGTCGCTCAAGGACTATGTCTCCGCAGTGAACAGGATCAGCGATCGGATCATGGAGGATAGACACGAAAAGGAGGTACTGGACCATACTCTCCGTGTACGCACCACAAGCCGGATGCCGTCCGAAGAATGACAAGGACGAGTTCTATCTCAGCCTTGACGATGCCATCAGAATCGATTCCGGAAGGTGACTACCTCACCATAGCAGGTGATCTGAATGGTCACGTCGGCAGTGAAAGAAGAGGCCTGGAAAGGGTGCACGGAGGTAGAGGGATAGGAACGAGGAACGCTGAGGGAGAGGGTTCTGGACCTGGCTACGGCCCACGACTGGCAGTCTGCAGCACGTTCTTCGCGAAAAGGGAGACTCAAAAGGTAACCTACAGCAGTGGAGGGAGACAGACGGAAATCGACCATGTGCTGGTAAGAAGATCATCCCTCAAAACTGTGAAGGATATCAAGGTACTCCTGGCGAAGAGCTGGCTCCCAGCACAAGCCACTCCTGGCAGACATAGCCATGGAGCTCCCCAAGAAGACAAAGGTAAGAACCGAGAGGAGAATCCGGTGGTGGAAGTTGCACCGTGCAGAGAAGAGCGACCTCAAGCGAAGGATAATGGAAGTTGGTCTCCCAGATCCTGAGGGACCAGTGCAGCAGACTTGGGGCACTGCAGCTGAGATCATCCTACGATGCGCCAAGGAGGTACTGGGAGAGACGCGAGGTGGATTCAGAGGAGACAAGGCAGCGTGGTTTCTGGAACGAGGAGGTCCAGCGAGTCGTGAAGCAGAAGAAGGAAGCATACAAGCGCTGGCAGAAGACCCGGAGCCCGAAGACCTCGCTACCTACAAGAGTTGCAAGAGGCTCGCTAAGGCTGCCGTCGCCAAGGCGAAGAACACGGAGATGGACGCCTTGTACGAGAAGTTGGAAAGCAGAAACGCAGAGAAGTTCGTCTTCAGACTGGCCAAAGCCCGGCATCGGGCTACTCAAGATATCAGGGTGGTGAAGAGCGTGAAGAGCAACAACGGCGCCATACTGAGGAAGCCAGCCCAAGTTCGGAGGAGGTGGGAAGAGTACTTCAGAGGTCTTCTGAACGAGGAGTTCTCCCACGAGAACAACTCACGGGCAGAGGCCACAGCTGGTCCCATCGCACTCTGGACAGAGGATGAGGTTCGGCGTGCACTTGGGAAGATGAAGGTTGGAAAGGCAGTTGGTCCGGATGGAGTACCCATAGAGGCTTGGAAGGCCCTGGGAGAGCACGGGGTGAAGGTGGCTCACCCGCTTCCTGAATACGGTGACTGCCGAAGGAAGGATGCCGGATGCCTGGAGAACAAGTACTATCGTCCCCATCTTCAAGCAGAAGGGTGACGCGATGGACTGCTCCAACTACCGCGGATCAAGTTGACTGCGCATACCATACCATGAAGTTGT